GGAAGTATACAGGACAAATCTGGTTCCCCTCCTCCAAAAGCATCCTTACAAGTGAGATGTTCAGTATCCTCTGGATATTGCAAGAGCCAAAGGATGAATCCAACATGTAGCAGGAGCAACTAAACTAGCATGCAGACAGTGTTTTTCAAGTAGCTTAAGGAATCTTGCATTCAAGGCCAAACCAGAATCTTCATGGAGCCACCTTTCAGCTAAGTCATGAAAACACAAACACAGCTTGAAGTGTAACACAGTACCTTAAGAAAGCTTCCCGGGCTCTCCATGTGACTGAAGGCTGCTGCTAGGCTTTGGATCAGATATCAGACCAAAACATTAAGCTTGAAATACAAGACGATGTTTCAACTTCTGCCCACCCCTTCCCACAGTCGGGAATCCACTCCACTCTCAACATCAACTCAATTCACTGACACACCACAGTAAGGATGAGCTCTAGAAGCATGTTCAAAGTGATTTTGAGTACTGCTCAGAGGCAGCTGCAATTCACCCAGGATGTACCTGCAGCATCTCAAGCGGCTGGATAAATCATTCTTCTGATTTTAGTCACCCCACATTCTCCCATTTAAAATTAGCTTATAAATATTTACCATATAAAGTGAATGAATATTACTTAATGATCACAAACAGGTAATTTTTTCTGCACATAGGCCACCAGCTTTCTTCCACACAATCCTGTTTGTCCAGTATTTTCAGACACCAAACGTGAAGGATTAAGCAGAGGCAAAGCAAGGCCACTCAAATGAGACAAACTACAGTGCTAAGGTTCCTCCATCTACACTTCTCTGCCCCATTACCAAAGGCAATGCAACTGTCCATCGACCTTTGGAATTAAATAAGTAACCACCTAAAACAGGACTTGATAAAGAAGTTCTGCCAAGCTCACATCTGGCCTTCAGTTCTCAAGATAACAACCTATTCTGGCTATCAGAGTCCCCAAAACTGCCAAGTGCCATGTAATTGCCGCAGGCAATCCCTTCTCTCAGGGAATGACTCTGCCGTTGAGTGCTGGCACCATCGAGACCTGCCATGGAGAGCAGGACTGTCAGCAACCAGGTCTTCTTCCTCTTCCCATTTCATGCTGATTCCCAGACAAAAAGGTAGAAGCAATCTTGTTTCCACCATTCTTCACCTTCTCAAATCACAAGAACTAAGAGGTAAACTCCCAAACCCCTGAAGCTTTGGATTTTTTTCCAAAACCCAATCAGTATTCAAAACAAAGGAACCTGAGCATTCCAGTCAAAAATCAAAGCCAATTTTCATTGTCTTTCACTTATTAGAATATGGAAAACAAATAAACAAAAGACATGGATTAGATTTCACCAATCAATATGTGCTTGTTTTTCTCATCCTGAAATAGGAGCTGGAAGCATTTTCATATGCGTTTTGGAAGGCTGCCTGCATCCATTGCTGCTTTGGAAAGTCAACCTCTGTCTTTTCCTGCAATACTATTTTTGAACTGAATGTTCTTGGGTGAACCACAACAAATGCCTCCTTGCCTCTTACAACAGCAGCATATGAGCTTTCAGGAAAAAAAGTCAGTCAGAGGACAGCATCAGCATAACACTCCTTCCTTTGCTGTAATACTCAATCCTGCATTTCCAATTTGGACAGCACAGGTGGCAGAAGATAACCAAATCCCACCTGCAGAAACTTTGTTCCAGGTTCAGACAACAAGATAACCAAACACCATTCAGTAAAGCCTTGTTATCTCAACAGCCTCTTGTGAAATTGGCCTTATTAATCAAATAAGCCAGGTGAGCCTTGGTCATGTGAATGACCAAGCATAACACACCTTGTGAATATGATATCCAGTGGGGCAAAATGCCCCTTGATGAGTTAGTCAGCACTGGGATGCAAGCCTTGAAACCAGAAGAAAGGTACTGATGCAAGAAGTCTCTTTTCTGAAATCAAGCTACAACTACCAAAGGCATCAGGATTTAGTATTAAAAGCCATTTATCCGTCTCACAAACATGGGAAGTTTAAAACATCTGACCCTATTTGTTCCCACTGAGGCACCTTAAAAAGGAAAATCTGATGAGGCTGATGCTCCTGATGCAGGTTCAGGCTCTGCAGAGATGAAGGAAAGGCCCCTGCAGACGTGCATGTCCCAGAACAACCTGGGCCTGACCACAAGAACAATTTGCTCCCAGCTCCACACCCAGAAGCCCCAGAGGGATGAATCCACACAGAGCAGAAGGGTGCAGAGTAAACAGCAAACTGAGAAGGAAATTAAAGCTATGAAAAGGATATGCTTCTTCCTGCCTCCGTCTCTGCTCTCTGGAAAACCACCTCTTAGGAAAGTCGGTGAGATATGATGAGCACCAGGAGCACTGATCCTGACTCTACAATGGAGGCTGACAGCTAGCACAAGCTCTTACATACGCTGTCTCTTA